TTTGTGAGAGTGAAAGGATGTAAGTTGTGTAATTTAAAAGTATAGACACTTTTCCCTTAATTTTATGGGAGAATTAATTTATAATTGTGTAACAATAACAAGTCTGAGATGGGAATTCTCTTGAGATATATACTAACGTGGAGTTTATAAAGTTTTGGGTTCTCCCACCCTTTGAGCTAGCTTTTGGGTGGAGTATCTCAAGGTTCTTTACATTGTATCAGAGCCTCGTGTCCCGAGTTCGATCCTCGCCGTCCCCCACTTTCTCTTGTGGAATTTCTTAGCACAAGTAGACTTGGCCTGTTGCATCATCCACTCTTCAAGCCCAATAAGCTATTGTGTGAAGGGGCGTGTTGAGATATATACTAAAGTGGAGTTTATAAGGCTTTGGGCTATCTCACCTTTTGAACTAGCTTTTGGGGTAGTGTATCCCAAGGTTCTTTACAAATTCTACTCGCATCTAATAAAATACATGACTGGTAAATTATTCTTGATTTTTCTTCTTAATATTATTATAATTAAATTATTTAATTATTATTTAATTTTTATACAATTATTTCATAATATTTTTTCTTTTGGATAGTTTTATAGTTAAAATGAAGAATTCTTGTCGATGAGGATTGACATACATGAACGAACTTTTCGTCTATATTAGTTTTACAGAAAAATATTTGTACAATTACTGCAGATAAGTTATCTACATTCACTCTTAAAATGATGTCGTTTTAAGGTTGAAAAATTAAAAAATTATAATGATAAAGAGTATTATAACTCTAAAATAAATTAATATTATAAAAATACCTTAATTTTTGTCTCAAAACAACATGGTTTTGAGTTTATTGTAAATAATTTATATACAATTATAAAAAAAACTATACGGGACGTATTTTTTTCCTAATCTAAGTTTTATAATTATAAAAAAAATTCTTAGAGCTGTTATCCTTACACAAAATAGAGAGAGAGTAATTGAGTCATGAATGAATATGGAAAATATATATTTCTACTGAATTTTGTGAAGACCAAAATTGGATATTGGCTTTAAGTACGTGTATAACTTCGAAAGAAAGGGATTTCAGTTTTTTAAATATTAAAAATGTTTTTTATCTTTGACTTTTGATTATATTTTATAAAATTAGTTTCTTATTTATTAAATAAAGATTTTTTTTAAAAGTAACCACTTTTATCGCATTAATATAATCTCGTACGGACAGGAACATCTCAACTGTACATTAATTTCATCCGACAGGGTCTTCCTAAGACTTCTTCCTCCTTCTGCCGCTCTCAGTTCTACCTTTTGTTGGCAAAAATTTAATTTTAATAATTATAAAAAAGATTTTGTAACAAGTGCCTTCACAATATTAATTAAAAAATATTTCATATCATATACTTTGAATTTTAAATTTTGTAACAAGTGCCTTCCCAATATTATTTCTTTTCAACTTGACACCACCATGGGAAACATGAGGGAATCTTCCTACAAATTTTATGCAACGTTTACAACTCCCAACTCTTAAGACAAAAATAAAAAGTCGTCCAATATTTGTATGATATATCATATGATATAAAAAAATATATAAGGAACAAATACTAGATAGGTTGTAGTCCTTTGAGATTGAGAGTTTTAAGAGTTGACTTGAGGGAGAGAAAAAAAAACATGTGGCCGTTTTGCAGAAAAGGGGCATCTGGGTTTTCATCATCTTCCACTGCAGAGGAAGTCACTCATGGAATCGATGGAAGTGGTCTCACTGCTATTGTCACAGGTCACTTTTTTCAGTGTTTTCCCATTTTATTTTATTTTGTTTTGGAAACTGGGAATTATCCATTTCTTTTGTTCTTGTCTGACAAATCCATGTTTTCTTTCTTCCTTTTTGTTTTTTTTTATCCAACTTCCATACTGTCGTACCTTCTTTTACTAAAAAATATTATCACTTTTTATTTAGCATAAGCTTACAACTATAAATCATATCAATCATTAGTTATAAATATGAAATTAATAGATAAAACTTATTATTTGTACGCGGTATTAATTGATTTTTTTTACCACCACGTTGACACTATGAGTTATATCCCTTCCCCTGCCCCCATCGAGAAATAGTTCTAAAGTATAAATATATATATATATATATATATATATATAGGGTCAGGATCATTTTACACCGGTAGTTAAAAATGAGTTACTTACACCAGTATAAGATGTCCTGGAAAATATAAGAAGTATGTTACAGGAATAGTAATATTCATTCCTGCAACTATTTTTTAACTATGTAACATATATACATATATATATATATATATATATATATATATATATATATATATATATATATATATATATATATGGGTTTTATAAGAGTTATGTTGTAGAAAAAATGATTGTGTAATGTTATAGAGATTCGTTTTGCGTGCCGTAATTTTTTTTTCTTTTTTCTTCAAAAAATGTGGACTCCACAAAATTTTGTATGTGTAAGAAAGTTTGTTGTGTCATGTTAAATGACAAATCCAAACCTATATATATATATATATATATATATATGGATTAAGATTATTTTGCACCGATATAAGATACACTTTATATCTTGGCCATTAATCCTATTTTATATCTAGCGGCTCTTATTTATTAGATATATAAGTTATTAGATACAAGCCCATCAAGATTTGATATAAGATTTCTTATTATTATACCCATGTACGAGTAACCAACCCGTGTGTGTTTTCTTTAATACAGTTGTCAGTTACTCACTCTTATGTCCATTTATACACACTTCTTAATTCTAATCATTCAAGGAAAAACAATGGAATAGTAATGTTTTCTGGTTTATTTGTTTGTTGCAACTTTAAGAAACAATGCAGGAATTATGGCACCCCCTTTCACTCTGTCCAATGACAACATTGAACTACAATTTGCAACAAATTACTTAGGTATGTATAGAATATCTAACCTTTCGTAACATGAAATTTTTTATGAGCTTTTCATTGTATAAGGGGTAAAAAAGAAACAATAAGACAAAAAAAAAAAGGTAGTGTAGGGAATATAATTTATTGTTCTTTCTGATTCAGAGGATTAAGAAAGGGATGAAAGGTGCTAGTTTTGTCACTTTGTAGCAGCAGACACATGTGAAACCTGTCTCTCTGGGTCCTGGGAAAGGGTTATAAATCATTTTTACTTGAAATCTATGTGTAGTCCTTCTATACTTAAGATCATTCTTAGCTTATATAATTGGGTGATAATTTATATAAAACATCAAATAACTCTTCTACTGTTTCTTTAAAAGCATATGCTGAGAAGATGTGAAAATGATCTTAATCCTTTTGATTTTATTTAACATAATTCCACAGGTCATTTTCTTTTAACAAATCTTTTGTTGGATACTATGAAGAAAACAACAAGTGAAAGTAAGAGTCAAGGAAGAATTGTTAATGTCTCCTCGTTTTCTCACCAGTTAACATATCGTGAAGGAATCCGTTTTGATAAAATCAATGATCAATCAAGGTAAGACTGGCGACAACTACCTAAGCCTTACTCTTGTAGAAATTTATCAATACAAGAATAATTTTGCTAAACACTTCAATTTTATTACCATTGTCAATCTTTAATTTGTGATTGTAAAGCAATCAATTCCATAGTTAAATACTTTTTAGAAAAGTGGGCGCAGTGAGGATGGAATTTGTGACCACTTGGTGACAAGCTTTAATGCTATGTAATGCAATCAATTTAACTCAAAAGCTTAAATTGATAAGTGATATTTAATTTTATATTAGACTTCTCTGTTGAGATATATAGTCTCACATTGGTTGTATGAGCAACTAAAGTGAAGTTTATAAGACCTTGGGCACTCTCACCCTTTGAGCTGCTAGCTTTTGGGGTGGAAGTACCCAAAGCCTTATAAAGGCCACATTAGTTGCTCATATAACCAATGTGGAACTATATATCTCAACATTCTCTTTCAGCTATGTTCCCTTTGTTTTTGGGTGCCCACCATATGTGGCATTAGGTGTCACATTACTATGTATATATTTGTTGTGACCTATCACTCAGAATGTGTCAGACTAAGTCTATATACAGAAAACCTGCATTTAGAATTAAGCACACATATATGGTTCCTGTGGTATCTGTGCAAAGGATAAGTGTTTTGTTTTGTGTAGTTCATTATGTTTGCTTCCTTGTGTGCAGTTACAATAATTCACTTGCATATGGGCAATCAAAGCTTGCTAACATTTTACATGCCAATGAACTTGCAAGACAATTCAAGGTATGTTAAAATATTGTACCGTAAAATAAGTAATGTGTTACTTTGTTGAAAGATTTAGTTAATAGTGTTGTTTACCATAATGCAACATTTTAGCTGGTTATTGATAACCATTATAAGTTAACATTAATCATATCTCATTAATGTCTCTAAACTTTTGACTGATTATTAAGAAATTGATGGCCCTGATGTTGCATATGTTATTTTCATTGTCTTTTGCTTTCACAATTTCATCAAGAAACTGATATTTCTGATCGAATATTCTAGACCATGGCTTGACCTTTTTTTAAGTTTATTTAATGCATGATTCAGCGATGGTTCCAATATAAACGAGTTAATCATTGTCACACCAACTTGCACTAATGAGTAGTGATTTGCATACAAGTGTATGTCTTGAGTGTTTTAAAACTGGACTGGTTATGTAGGATATGTTACTTCATTATCTAATATCTTTTTGTCAAAACTGTTCATATCTTTTTAATGGATGTTTGTTAACTAATTTTAAGGAAAAGTTTCTGATTATCAGTGACCAATTTTTGTTAGTCCTAGATTTCAATCGGGTTTGTAGCCAATCTTTCAGGTTTATGGAAATGCTCAAACTTTGCATCACTTGTGAGAAAATTTGGTTTAGTTTTCTCATTCTTTTCTCTCTTAGTTTAGTTGACTTCCTTCTCAATTGTTTGTGAGTAAAAATGGCCCTCTGGTTTTGCCTGTGATGTATATAATATTACTTGTTTGTTGTTATATCGTGATCAGGAAGATGGGGTAGATATCACTGCTAATTCTCTTCATCCGGGAACCATTATCACCAATATTTTTCGTCACAATAGGGCACTATCTGGTAACTACTACATTGCACTATTCATGTGAGTTTATTAGCCTGTATAGGAATTATGTAAATCATGTGATTTGTAAATGAAATATTCTGTAATATGTACATGAATGTTGTTTAAATAACGGTTGGTGTCACATATTTACATAATGTAACAAACTTCTTATACATTCGAGGCAAGGCTCTCACTATATACCCTTTTTTTTGGATCCTGCGCACAGTGAGAGCTTTATACATTACACTATCCTTTTACTCACTGAACAAGAATCAATCCTTTAAAAAAAACACTTCTCATGTTTACCTGGAGACAGCCTTTGTCAATTATGGCACTTTAAGTGCAACATCAATTCATGTTGTCTTCATATTTTTTTTTTTTCTTCACATATAGTTTTTTATGCAAGTACTTTTCCATGCAAATAATGACAGTTGTTGGGTTTTATGGATATTTTTATGTTTGGTTTATGCAGGTGTAATTAAAATACTTGGGAGATTTATGCTTAAAAGTATCCAGCAGGTAAATTAAATCAATATGACCTATGAATAAATAGATATCAGGGACATTGTTTTGTTATTTAATATAATAAAAGAGTATTAAAAAATTTAATATTTAACATTTGATTCTTGTAATAGTCCATGTGCACCTTTTCAACCTCATTACAGGGAGCAGCAACAACATGCTATGTAGCATTGCACCCCCAAGCGAGGGGAATCAGTGGCGAGTATTTTGTCGATAATAATGTTGCCAAAGCAAACTCAAAGGGAGTAGACGTTGATTTGGCCAAGAAGCTATGGGATTTCAGCATGAATTTGGTAGAATACAATACCCATCACATGGTATACTTACCTTAAATTCATAATATTTTATATGCAAAATGAAGACTTAGAAATCCTAAATTAAGAATTAAAATATGAATTTAATGTCTTAAAATATGAATTTAATGTCTTAAATTGTTAATATTGAAATAATATGAGATGAACTGTTATTAAGTTATTTTTTTATGATTAATTAAGTTAATTTTTTATATTTTTTGGTGTTTTAGATAATTGATAACATTTGGACTTGCAAACTCAAAAGTAGATAAAATCTCATTCAAAAGATTTGGCATTTGAGCGCCCCAAAAAGGAAAGCACAATCCAAATTCCTATTCACTGGCGTCTTTACGAATAGTTCTTTCATGACCTTTTAGAGAGCTTTTCATGAAAGGATATCAAGCTGGGAGATTCGTAGAGATTCACTACACCTTCATTGCGATGGAGTTTGAGGAAGCCTTTATGATTTCTTTTGTTTTCATTTCCTTTGCCATGTCTCGCTAGTTTCTTTTGTAGTTAAAGCTAGATGGAACCCTTTTGAATCTTGAATTAATTTATTTTTTCCTCTCAATGTAGTGTTCTTGTTTTCATGTTGTGCAATTATTCTATTTATCATTCTTAATTCTTTTGTGAACTGGTCAATCATAAAGGGATGCTTGAGTTATGCATGACAATAGGGATGTTGGTATATGATTCTGATCTGAATATATTGCCAGGTTTTGTTTGATCTAAGGATAGACTAACAAAATCTATGAGGTTGTTGATTTGTTGATATTTATAATAATCCTAACCTATGAAATGTGAAAATTGCATGTGATTAAATGTTTAATCATGCATAATGGAAATTAATTAGAGATGAGATCTAATTAAATGGAATTAAGTCACTTTTGGGCAAAAGTGCAATTAGTAAGAGTTTTGGAGTAAAATGGTAATTAGGCAAACTATACCCAAAAATGTTAAATAATATGGTGAGACATTATTAAGTAACATTTATTAAGTTGAAAATCACCTTAGATGAATTAAATGTGGTCTTGTGACTTTAAATAGATGAAAGGATACATGAGGTATTACTTTATTTGTTACTTTATTAATGTAAAAGTTAAAACAATTGTAAACATAGATCTTTTCAACAAAAGCCTCATTCCCCATTGTGTTTCCCTTCCAAGCTCGAGCAAGCCATTGACGTTGGAGCTTGAAACTTAGCTTTTGATTTAATGAATGAAATCAAGAGGAGTAAATATCAAAGATGCTTAGTTTTCTCTTGTGAGTAAAACCATTAATTTAGAATTCCTTGAAAAGCCTTGTGTTGTGAGATATTCCCTTGGAAAAGTGGTGCCCTGTTACATTGCATAGAAGTTCAACTCGTACTCGAAGTTGGCCTAGGAGACTAGAAGATTATGCTGCTTATAATGATCCCAATTGGTAAATCTTAGTTAGAGATTTAATTTAAAAATTTAAATGTCATAATTAGATTCAGAACATGATTTCGAGTGTTTTGACTGTAATCATGACTAGGTCATGAACTTTTGCCTAGTATTCTGCAATGCTTGTAGCAACCGGTAGAGCTTGGAAATGAGTATAATGATGTTAGCGACCTAATTTGGAAATTCTGATGCCAAATATGAGTTCAGAACGGAAAATGGTGTAGTCTGACACTTTTTGCAAAAATCTCATAAAACGTGCTTATGCTGGGTATTTTGTACTGTCGTTTAGACAATCTGTAGAGTCCAGAAATCTGAAAAAATTTAGTAAAAGTATGTTTAAGTCCAATATATGTCATACAAGTTATTTTTAAACCAAAAGTATTCAGTTCAAAAGTTTTACAATTTTGCGTGCAAAATTGCACAGTTAGTGATTCGCGGTGCATGTTTTCGGAAACAGTGTCTGAATTCATATGTGAATAGCTTATAAGTGAATGTAAGTAAAATCAGAAAAATAAAATTATAGTCGTAGCTTTGAGTGAATATTGGGTCGCGTTAAGTGAATTTGATTGAGAAGAAAACATCCGTTAAATGATCACATGTCTTATAAGATCAAGTGGCTTAAGTGAAACACTATTCACTCACCTTCTTCCTCTTCTTTCTCCTTTTGGCCGATCCCCTCCCTCTCTATTAGAGCTAGGTTTTCAAGTTTTTTCCTCTCTTTGTTTCTCCATCCTCACTCAACCAAATACAAAGGTTCATTACACCATTTTGATAGTAAAGCACCTAAGGAGTCCATTCCACTACTTGGTTTAGATTAGAATTAAGTGTGTGAAAAGTCCCCCCCTTTTCGTGACACTATTCACAAGGTCAAGAAAGTGGATTTTTTTATGATCCAAGCTTGGTGGATGATCTTTGGGCTTTGGATTGTTGATTATAGGTAAAAAATCTCTATTTCTATCGTTCCAATTTTGATCCCAAGTCTTGAATGTTTAAGAGCATGTTAGGGTTTAATGATTATTCCTTGTCTTTGGAGTTTTGAGTTGTGAGTAGGGAAGAATATATGTTAAGAGTTTGAATTGTGTATGTAGTTATGTAAATAAAAAGAAAAATTCTATGGCTCCTCTCCTATGCATGTTCGACCCTAAGGGGGAAAATAGGAGTTTGAAATGCAAATTAAATTTTGAACATGTGTGTAGGCTTTGGAATATATGTATGTATGTATATATGTATAAGAGAGTGTGGGAGTTAAATGGTTGAAGAATTCCTTGGTTGTAAAAATGCCACTTTTAGGCCTATGTGCTTTAATTGTGGAACCTTGGGAAATCATGAATATGTTAATGAATCTCGGATTAGATGTGTACGATAAGCTTGAATTTGATGGACTAAAGCATTGGAATCTTGAAATTGACATGGTTTCCTTTATGTTCCTCTTAGCCATTTACAAAGGGAGTACGTGTTAAGAGTGACTGTTTGTGCTAGTGAGCACTTATATGGTCTAAGGGCTATATGATTAGATGTTTAAACCTTTGGTTAGGTTAGATGAAAAGAAAAAATGAATAAGTTCCATCTTTGGGCCTTATATGTGAATCTGCCATTTTCAAAGGAGTTATGTGCTAGGAGTTACTACTTTGCAAAGCGAGCACACTTTTATACGTAGAATAATGTTCTAAAGTGTGTGAATTGGTGAAAGACAAAAGAAAATAAAGTAGGTCCCTTGTATGGCCTTAAAATGAGTTTTGGCCATTTTCAAAGGAGGTATATGTTCGGAGATATTGTTTCCCAAAGTGAGAACACTTTTATGTGTAAAATAATTTATATAGGTGTCTAAGCTTGGGTTTAGGCACTAGACAAAAAAAAATCTTATAGCTCCTGTGTAACAGGCAATCAACTTTAAATTGGGAAAAATAGGCTTTAAGGTGCTAAGAGGAGTAATGAGTGTTCTGAAGGCCTTTTGAGACTATCCTAAGACTAGGTAAATGTGTGAAATTATGTGGGGATTTGTTGAACAAAGAACCACCCACCCTTGTGTTGGTCTCGGATGAACTCAAGAGGGGGGTGAATTGAGTTTTATAAAAATAATTCGCTAATTAAAAATTAACTCAAAGCAATAAATCAAGATAAGGATAGAGAGATATTAACACAATAGTTTTTACGTGGAAAACCCAAAAGGGAAGAAAAATCACGGGCCCTAAAATCGAATACTGAAATTCGACAGGCAACTCCACTATGAAACTTCTGTACAATGAGTTCTCTAGTATCCTAGTTTCCTAGTCTACCCCTTATACAAATTCCCAAACTGGTATCCTAGTTTCCCAGTATGAAATCCTAATCCTTTAGGATTCTAAAACCCTATCACACAAGAGTTCTCAAGTTACTCTTAATTTCCAAGAAAAAGAGACATACTGGTATCCCAGTTTCCCAGCACGAGAACTGGTATCCAAGTTTCCCAGTACAGACATTCAAAAAGGTCAAGAAGAAAATTACAATTAAAGTATTTACCTCAGTGCTTATTTTCCTTAAGCAGATAGGTAATCTGAATTCCTATGGAGAAATATTCACTTTGCCAAAGGGTCTTGAGAAAGCTCTTCTACTGATGCACAAAAAAGAATCTTATTCTTGAAAATCTAATTCTCTCTTGTATATTTTTCTCTCCTCTGACTTGTATTTTTTCTTCTCTGAAATAATATGCAATGAGCCCTATTTATAATAATAACATCTTAATCTATTATGCAATGCAATCCTAATCAAACCTTTGGCAAAGAATATTTTATTTCTCTTACATGAAATCTAAAAAGATAAAATCTATCATAATCTTTAATTGATTCCATGCTTTTTTTTCTCTTCATGATATCTTCTATATCTTCTTCAATCTTCATGCAATCTTCAATTATGTTGAATATTGATCACATGCTTTTCTCTCTTTTCATGATATCTTTCATATCTTCTTCAATCTTCATGCAATCTTCAATTATCTTGAATACTATTTCAAATCAGAATAAATATTATTCTGAAATCTCAAACAATCAGCTCATTAGTAATTTCAAGACAATAAAATATTATCAATTAAATTAACATTAAATTGATTGTAATCATCAAAACATATTTTAAATCAATTAAACAATTGGGGTATAACAAATATCCAATACCTTGGTCTAATATGGTTAAGTTAAAAAAATTGATTATGACTTGTCTGTATGACATAATATTGGCATAAGAATTGATAAGTAAAAGATAAAATCAATAAATGGTGTGTCTGGTTAATTACTTGGCTTTGAACCATTTTATTGATATTTGTGTGGATTCCCTATTCTAGGTGCACCTAGGAGTCTTGTTGAGGATACTACATTAGAGGAGGCTAGGTAAATCATATTTCGGGTAGGCCATTTGTAAGAACCCACACCGTTAAATTAGCAATTTAATTAATTAATTATGAGATTAATGAGATAATTTCATAATTGACCCTAATAATTATGAGAAGGCTTAAATAATTATGGTAAGTGAGTAATAATGGTGAAAGTCGCTTTTCTGACAAAAAGTGCAGATACCGATTCTGCCTCACGGTATAAATGCGTACCAATGAAGTATCCCGAAAAATTATGAAAAGTGTGTATATATTACTAGAATAATATATAGGACTAGTGTCAGAACTAATACCGGCTACGTAAAAGCGCATACCAGGAAAGTGCTGCGAAAAATAAAATAAAAATATGAAAAATCTTAGAAAAATGGCTAGGTTCTGAATCCAAAGTTTGGGATTAAAATGATAAGCGTAGCTATTAGCGCTAATACTGACGATTAAAACTTAAGTAGACTATATATACTTAAGGGCACACCTTTCTAGGTCAGTTTCCATTCTTCAAAAATGATTCTATGTGTCCCCATTTTATGAGTTGGTGTTCCCTCACCTTGCCATCTTCATTTATCCAAAGAAACCTCCAAAGTGACCACCTTTCTCCATTGTTTCTTCATCAAAACACCATGGTCGAGTGTGGTTGAGACTTGGGTGGGAGAAAAGCTTTTGTTTTCTGAGTTTAGGTTCTATTTTGTGAGGTTGTGGGGGCTGAATTGTGG